TTCAAATATTGATAGTTACTTAGTTGTCATGTGATCAGCTGATTCGATCCGATTTTCATCCTTGTCTTGTTAATACCACATCCCTGGCCTCATCCAGTTATTGGTGGTAAAACAGCTACATTATAAGTCCTGTGTGAGGCCTCCATCGCAATTCCTTGTCACTCACTTCGAGACCCGTGAAGATCGGGGGTAGAATTATTCTTCAGCAACCCATGCTTGACGTAAAAGGCGACTATGCTTGTCGTAAGAGGCGACTAACGGGATCTGGTGGTCAGACTCGCTGACTTGGTTGATGCATGTCATCGTATCCCAATTGCGTGGGTCGATGCTCATGATGTCAATCACTGGATTGTCTGGTCCAGACTCGATTATTTACAGACCGCCGTCATATAGTTGGAATATTGCTGAGTGCGGCGTTAAACAACAAACAAACAAACAAATCACTCACTTCGATGCCGTTCCGCCTGTGATGGGGCATTTACCGAGCGCTTCAATTACTATCAGTCCCCCAAAATAAGCAATGCAAACGCACCTGACGTGTAACAATGTGTGCAATGATTGTTTGTTGTTTAACGGCCCAGTCAACAATATTCCAGCTAAATGACGTCGGTCTGTAATCGAGTCTAGACAAGACAACCCATTGATTGATATCATGAGAATTGATCCACGCAATTGGGATGCGATGACATGTGACCACCCGATCCCGTTAGTCGCCTCTTACTACATGCATGGGTTGCTTAAGACCTATTCTAACCCAGATCTTCCGTGTCCAAGACGCGATATAGGGATCGGTTGTTCAAAATGGCTGATGGTTGTGGATAGTAGTACCTACTCGATCTGCTGTCACTGTGATTTATGATTACGCACATGTGTGTGTTTTTATTTAAAAAATCACGATACCCTAGTCAGATACGCGTCCGAATATAAAAAATACCCCATATTGGTAGCTGAAAAGCCAAATTCCTTGTACAAATCGTTACTTAATTCGCATGCATGAGAAAAACTGGCCCAGCTTACACAAAATGATCTTGTTTTACGCTTATTGGTTAAGTCTGCATTAATGCTAAAGCAGTTCTAATAATTATTATGTGTACTTCTTGAAAGTTTAAAAGCGGGGGGCTTACAAGACAGAAAAACGAATTTTAGGCCGAGCTACTTCCCATCTTCGAATAGTCTACCTACATAATACAGCAGTCATTGTGGTTATTCAGGATTGTGTGATATATACACAGACGGAGTCTGTCTTACAGACCCTGATACAAATATATATCAAATGCAGCCCATGCAAGTCTATAATGTTTGGCAAGTCTAGATTACTGCATTATCAGTATCTGAAAATGAAGAGAGTCACTGGGCTCCCTTTTATTATATTTTTTATTAAGATAACTGAACAACTGTTTTTTTCTTTATGATATGTTCATTTCAGAGACTAGATGTTAATCTAACACAGACGGTGAACTGAAGTAAAAACCAACATTTTTAAACTAAAGACCGACGAGGAATGAGAAACACACGAAGAGCCCGCATAGACGTCATGAAATGGCTTTGTGCAAGCGGGCCTTGACAACGCAGACAACAAACTATGGGAATGTATTCGTGCCACATTCAAAAAAGAAAATATCACATCGTCACATAGACTTGGCCTGGAACTAGCTTCTAGTCAGTAGAATTCGACACATTTAAATAAAAAGTTACATTTTTAAATGTTTAGATATTACCTTAATAATGGCATGTCAAGGATGAAAGTGAAACAAATCGGAAATTATTAATGAAGCCAGAGGTTACATACAACTTACCCGGAACTATTGTCGATGAAACGAGAAATTATTGTTACCATAGTTGATAATTGATAGTAGATTATATTTTCGTAGATCATGATATCATATACGTACGAGGAAGTATCTTCTATGTAGATGTGAACAGTATCACATTTTTATTGACATATCATTTGAGAATGTGGCACTTATACGTCTCCATAACAAACCTTCTCGGATCCAAGTTGAAACGTGTATATATATGTTGCTTGTGTGTACTGGTCACCTGTACATGCCTGATATTCGCTTGACAATTTACTCGAGTACATTTCTGGTTCAATAAAATTAAGGCATTGCGTGCGTGCGTGCACGCGTATCTGTATTCGATATTGATAGAACTTTCCGTTTTGATACATGCAATGCATCTTTGAGAATATCCCCGAGTGTATTTGGATACAAGAGTTACCTTTTCCTTACTGGCTTCAATTTAGTGAAGCATCTTTAAAATATTTAATGTTGCAACAATTATTCTTGACATGACGCATACACATATTATCAGTATGGGTGTTTACGTATGAATACGTGTAAACAGGTGCGTGCTGATAAACAATACTGTTAAATCCTCTCCACGTTTGAGAAAACAGTTTTAAGGCCTTTTTTTAAATATCAGATGAGTCAAGACATGATTTGTCTCATAATGATTGACTGATGAAAATATGTATTTGTTTAGCCAACAATGTATATTGTATCCGATTACTGCATTTTAAGCGTTAACTCGCAAAAACATACATGCACGTTATTTCCCTTTGGAGGAATTTAAATATAATCTTTAAATTTAGATCTATTTTCATATGACGATACATAAGTAACAGGGGCATAAACAGTACATAACAATAACATAATAGCTAATTAATAATGGTGTTTTCTGTACTTTTGGAGCTGCAGTGACACATCGTTAGTTAGACACCACTCTTCCCGGATACTAACCACTAAGAGTATCCACTTATATAAAGGACATGCATTATCATTATATCAAGGACATTCTTATCCTGTGGGTTTATTTTCATATACACCGGTAGCATTTTAACCGAAAGAAGGCAACTTTATTACTACCAAGAAGCAGGAGTCGGGTGTAGTTGTCCGGAGTTCACAAGTCACTGGATATACTGGACACTGCAGGTACACCATACACTTTACATAAGAATATAAGAGTGGAATGCATCTGTTATGGTCCGTGTAGCCAAATGTAGGTCACAGGAGTCCTACCTACCATATATACATTGTAAAAGTGATGTCATTCGGGTCAGATGATTCCTCTTATATAGGAATAACTCGATGTATATTACTCAACAACCGAATGATCATTGTCAGATCATAAGTTATCATGTCACATAAAGACTCATTAAACATGTGGCGAAATGACATGTTTTACGTGTGAATTCGATTGCGTTTAAAGTTTAAAGATAAAAGTGTAAATCCTAAAACAAGTTTATAGAATCAAAGGACTCTCGTAATCATTAGGTTTGCTGACTTGACGTCAGTTTACTAAGAATGGCTAGATTTTACAGTAGTTTTAATTGTATAAACACGCTAGACTGGGTCATACAGTCGGAAACCTAGGCCCAATATGGACGCCACGCACAAACTTCCGCATGTATTGCTGTCAACGGTGTTACATAAGAAAGGAGACCGTCTAAAAATAGCATTAATAGTCTAAAGTCTACTGAACAAAACGAATGTAAACAAATAAAATACACATATTCTTATTTCGTTTCAAGGTTGTTATGTGGTCTAATATTACTAATGACATGTAATGAATTCATTGGAATATCAAAATGCAATTCATTTATTCAATTAGAATTGATTTATTTGTTTACTTACTACTACTAAACGTTTACTTATTTTTCGATTTTATCGGATGTAGTAAATTATGTATTTACATATAATTAATTCATTTTGAAATTTTATTTAATCAATACACTAAGATGTTAAGATCCATATGTGTATTTATTAATTGAGTTTGATTTAACTTTAGTATAAATTCCCATATTTAATGAAGCGTATGCAATTTGTATCTTTATGTTTTCATTTGGAAATCTTATTCAATCAATCTATTTAATTATATTATATGTATTCTTTAACCTATTAATTAAAGTAATTTAATTTAGAACATTAGTCTCTAAAACAGCTGCTTTTTCCTAATTTACTTATAACATATGATTATAAGTCTGTTTATAATATGACGGGTTCCATGTTGTATTTGTATCTTTATTTTACCTTTCTTTAAGTTTACTGCAGACCAATACGACCTATTGTCCTTCATGTTAGTCACGCGGTGCAAATCACTAATGAATCCTTTTCAGCAAATAGTATTTTAGCAGAATACCAAAGGGTCGATCCTCTTCTTAATTATTCGCTGTGGCTAAAGTTTGCGTTTACAGTACTCTGCTGCTGTGTCATTACATGGCCACGTGCCTTTGGTGCTGATGTTCAGAGACCAACGTCAGCATTCACGCATTGTATAAACTTGTACTGTACGTTCAGATAAGAATGTATGTTAATGTTCGAAGGTATATTATTCCTGTTTAGAGTTATCGTCCTTTATTGACGTCCACTGTAAGAAGCGTCACTAAAATAGCTAATGTAGCTATTGTAGTCTTACCATGTGTATTTGACAGCTCCTCTGACACCTCTAAATTATATATTATTAAGATGATTATTTGTTTCCTTAATTGCAACAATGGTGTCTCTTAATTGTGCTTTCAAAATTCAGATACGACTATTAATATGGTCACCATTTCAACCATATTGCATGGAATTTGTAAACACGGCTTAACCAGGTCTTTATAAATATGTGAACCTTCATGAAACTGTGATGTGCAGTATATGTTGGTATATTCCTAATAGCACATATGACAACCATTGACCTTACGTTGTCCCCTTACTCAGCTAATTATTCATGTGTAATGCATTTGTAATTTAGTGTGCATGCAGTGAGAACACACGTTTTTTGTGATTTTATATAAGTTTCCTGAATATGTAAGGGAAGATTCAGAGCGTTCTGGCTCTATTCTATTAAGATCTGTATTTAAGTGCATACATACTCCTAAAAAAAAAAGAAACTCAATGGCGATTGTTATCATATATTTATACATGCAAACACAGGAGTTACATGGCAATTAGGAACGAAGCACTGTTACACACTACTGAGATTACAAATGACGCATGAAGACAGGTCAAGGGCAAGACTGTCAGTAACGGTTATGACCACCATTAGCGTTAATGACTGTCTGACATCATCTTCCCATAGACTGAATCAGATTCATCATCTTCCCATAGACTGAATCAGATTCCGGATTACAGGTCTTGGAATGTTCTGATACTCATCCCGCAAAGCCAAACACAAAGCTGGTAAGGTCTGCGGCTGGGGATGGCGTCGTCGCACACGTCAATCCAGTTCGTCCTAGTTCGTCCCAGTTCGTCCCATAAATGTACAATTTGATTGAGATCTGGGGATCTTGATTGCAAAGGAAGAACCTGGATATTGTTCTTGGCCAGGAAACCTGTGATTAACCTTCTGGTATGGTGTCGAGCATTGTCATGCTGGTAAATGAATTTTTGACGGTTCATGAATGGATTGACGTGAGGTCTGATGATTTCATCACAGTAACGTCGCGCTGTGAGATTGCCTTGCACATGGAAGAGATCCATTCTCCCACTGTACGAGATGCCCGCCCATACCATAACATTCCACCACCAAATCTGTCCACTTCCTGCACGTAGTTCGGAGCATGTCGTTCATGGCGGCGGCGGTAAACGCGTGATCTTCCGTCTTAGCCGAAATCGTGGCTCATCACTGAAAACGACGGTTTTCCATCTCTGTAATGGCCAGTTGAGAAGGTTTAAACACCACTGTCTGCGTAGTTGGCGATGCTGTCGTGTAAGGATGGGTCCCCGCGCTGGTCTCCTTGGACGTATACCACCGGCTCGCAGATGGTTTGACGGTTTGTTCCGAGATTCTCCAGAGTCCAGGTACTGCAGATGCAGATGTAGAGGTGGTTGTAGCAAACCTGTTCCGTAAATGTGGGTGTGATGACACTTGTCTTCCTGGACAAGTCCGATCACTTGTTTTTCCACGTTGCAGAAAATTGTGCCAAATCCTCCCTATTGTGCTCTGGATTACATTTAAGCGCCGAGCAACCGCCGATTGCGACTCGCCAGCCTCTAAATGCCCAATTGCATTATTTCGCTGCACCTCTATAAGACTAGGCATAACTTCTCGTGATAATTCACGTCTTAAATCTGTCACCAAAGCAGCAAGATCCCATGTCTTTTATAGGTAATGGTGCACATAATGCATGTGCAAAACAAACCGCATGAAATTCTTTCCTTATTTTTCCCTCACGCCCTTTTTTCATAAAAACAGACGTGGTTGCGTTTTGGCGATTGATAAACAAGGGCCATGGATTCAAACTCGGAAATGACTCCAGGTAACGTCAAGCAAGGACATAATAATTTTACAGATACGCAGGTTTCCTCTTAGATAAATAAGAAGAGAACATATGGTCTATGCGTTTCTTTTTTTGACTAGTATACAATAGGGGTAAACTGAGAAAAGAAGATTTTCTTTTACATTGGCGATTTGACTCATTATTAATCCTTGATAATGCTGATTGGTAGTACGTTTCATAAATGCTTTCTTCTATATTTCAGGTGGAAATGTTGAAAAAGTAGGTGGAAGCTTTAGATACATGCTGAGGCCCATTCCAGGAAGATAAAGATCGATTAATATATTGACTCCGACTTCTAAGAAGTGACTTCTTTTCAGACTCTTAATCTTCAGTTGGTTCAGTGACAGTGACATGCGAGCATTGATACACACCTTACTGCAGAATTTTGCCGTTATTTTCATTCAATGTGCCACACTAACTAAATGTCCCAGAAGTAAAGATTCATAACGAGGCCATGGTCAGCCTCTGTCAACAGACCAAGAGATGGGCTTTCTATGGAACCATTTGCAGATAATCACCATTCTGTAATACGTCGTAGCCACTACAATTAAGTTATATTCACACCAATATACAAAGACGTTTCCAGTCTATCAATATGGAAACCCTAAAATGTAATTGCTGAACCCAGCTCTTTGTAAACAATACTTCACAAGATGTCCATGTTCAACACTTAGCAGAAGACCAAAGCCATCAGTCTTCTATGGATCCAGGCAGTGAGTCTCAAAAAGACCATGGTCAGCGGCCATCAGTAGACCAAAGTGATCAGCCTTCTATGGAACCAGGCAGTCAGTCTCAAGAAGATCCTGGTCAACACTCATTAGTAGACCAAAGCGATCAGCCTTCTATAGATCACACAGTCGGTTTCAAGAAGATCCCGGTCAGGGCCCATCAGTAGTACAAAACCAACAACCTTCTATAGATACACAGTCGGTCCCAAGAAGACCATGGTCAGCAGCCTTCAGTAGATCAAAGCCATCAGCCTTCTATGGATCCAGGCAGTGAGTCTCAAAAAGACCATGGTCAGCGGCCATCAGTAGACCAAAGTGATCAGCCTTCTATGGAACCAGGCAGTCAGTCTCAAGAAGATCCTGGTCAACACTCATTAGTAGACCAAAGCGATCAGCCTTCTATAGATCACACAGTCGGTCTCAAGAAGATCCTGGTCAGCAGCCTTTAGTAGATCAAAGCCATCAGCCTTCTATGGATCCAGGCAGTCCGTCTCAAGAAGATCCTGGTCAGGGGCCATCAGTAGACCAAAGCCAACAGCCTTCTATAGATCCATACAGTTGGTCTCAAGAAGACGATGGTGAGCAGCCTTCTATAGACCTATGCAGTCATTCCCAAGAACATCCTGGTCAAAATGTATCATTAGACCAAAGCGATCAGCCTTCTATAGATCCACACAGTCGGTCTAAAGAAGATCCTGATCAACACTCATTAGTAGACCAAAGCCATCAGCCGTCTATGGATCCAGGCAGTCAGTCTCAAGAAGATCCTTGTCAACACTCATCAGTAGACCAAAGCTATCAGCCTTCTATAGATCCACACAGTCAGTCCCAAGAAAACCATGGTCAGCAGCCATCAGTAGACCAAAGCCATCAGCCTTCTGTAGATCCACACAGTCAGTCCCAAGAAAACCATGGTCAGCAGCCATCAGTAGATCAAAGCCATCAGTCTTCTACGGATCCAGGCAGTCCGTCTCAAGAAGATCCCAGTCAGAGGCCATCAGTAGACCATAGCCATCAGCCTTCTGTGGACCCATGCAGTCAGTCTTCAGTAGACCAAAGCCATCAGCCTTCCATCGATGCACACACTGCCCTTCACGAAGGAGATCGTGTACAAGGTCGTGCTAATCCGAATACCTTACCTGGACCAGAAATTACAGTCCAACGTACGTCCGAAGAATATCAATATGATGCCGTCTTGGAATTTGCAGAAGAAGATGAAGATCTGGCAATGGAAATACAAAGTGAGATGAATCATACTATTGTGGTGGGTAATCGGAAAGCAAGAGTGTGTTTGCGTAACCATCCTCAGTTTGGAGGATCCACTATTGACAGACCAACGATCATGAGAGAGAAGTGCAGGTATATGTTTCTTATACTCACTAGGAACACAGAATCGGATAATCGCACCTGTTATGTCAAAAGTGAAGCCCTGGGGAGCACGCTTCTGTCATCTAAATGCCAACATTTTGTTATACCACTACATACCAAGCCTACGAAGGAACGTAAATATGATATACCTGTTGGACTGGCACATGTTCAAGCATATGAATGGTTTCTGCCTTTGGATCGGTGCCAAAGAAAGATTCAAGAACTATTTAATCATCATGCAGAAACTGAGGAACACCAGGTCAGGGCTTATTCAACAAGACAGGGCACGATGAACAGTAAGCATTGATTAAATATTGATTTTAATGATATATCATTATATGTAAATATGTGAGTTATAAGAAATCTGTCAAAAGACGATTGCAGTGTCTTCCGAAGTTTTAAATACTCTTTGAACAAAACCACAACAAATAGACACATACTGGCAACTGGCGAAGTTACTCCTATTTCAACAGCAGATGTCTTTTACCATTTAATTTAGTGGCCTATCATATGTCATCATGCCATAATGCATGGCTTGATGTTGACGCTATAAACCACTGTTTTGTGACTCTTGAATATTTACCGGACGACATGATATAGCTGAAATATATGCTGACTGCGTCAGAAACCTACATTCATTCAACCTAAATTTTAGAATATGAAATATGAATGAAATTCATCTCTCGCAGATACCATTATTAAGGATTTTTATCGAGGTAGGAAGGGTTATAGGTCAGTAATGATATAATTACCCATTTCCTCCTTTTAACTTTATCTTTGCAGGGAACATTATGCGTCAGTGCAGTAGGGAAGCAACGGGCACACGCAACAAAGAAAATACCAATACATTAGGGGACAAATCAACACCTGCCCGAGACACAGACGTGTCACCTGATTTGAGGAGGATCATTCGTAAGTATGAGGGCTTCGTAAATATTATTGTGGAAACATAATTAGGATCGCATGAACTGAATGGGGAATCAATGCTCATGATCATGTGTCGAAACAACTCTGGCCATCTGTAAACCAGAGAAGGAACCTCGATTTGTCACTGCGACGGAACAAGGACTGCGACTGCTAGACAGCTCACGTCTTTAAAGTATTGGATTAGTATGAGTTGAGTCCCACACTGTCGGGGTACGATGTCACTCCGTCGACCAGATCAGCGAGTAACCTAGTCCATTGTTTATGTTCTGACTTTTTAAGTCTACCACAACCATGCCAGTTTCACAACGACGGTTTGCATATGCAAATTCCATAACCTTATGGTTACATTATTTGAGATCTAGAGGAACCTAATTGTGGCTATTGCAAGCCATGTGTACTCTTTCGTTATATATTGTGTTATCTTGACTATTGTTACATAGCTATGATTTACATGGTGAGGCGTGCTTGACTATATAAACTTTTCGATCCTCATGTAATTCATCATTATGTTCCATAAGTATATAATACATAATTCATTAGAAGTTCCATGACAACATGTAATTAATCGAAACAATTACTTAAAACGAAAATGGGGGATTAAATATTAACGAACAACAGAGAGAATAATCATGTGATTGTTTTTCCCTATTATTGTAAAACGATGAAATAATTCCATGTGTAGTGGATGTACGTAAATAAAATAGTCTGTTAAATTATATTCTGATATACTAATGTGCTACGTATCTCTTTACTCGTCTATATTTACTACAGATCAGACAAACATGATTCTTCAAGACTGGGAAGAGAAACTTTTCTACAAGACAAAAACTACCAGAGAAGCAAAGGATGTACTGATGACCAAAGGCTCTCTTTTCCTCGTAGGACGATCAGGAGATGGAAAAACGTCAACGGTTTATCACATACTTACAGAGTTCAGGAAAGATAAATCCACTTATCAACCATATATTGTCTATGAACCTGAAGACATGAAACATATACCTCCAGCTAATTCCATTGTCTTTGTAGATGACATACTTGGCCGTTCTAGTTTTTCTTTTGCTCTTTTAGAGAAATGGAAATTATATTTCCGCCCACTGGTTGCCTACGTTAAAGCAGGACATATGTATTTTATTTCTACTTCTCCAAACTTTGTCAGAGATGAATGCCTAAGTTTTTTTGATGACATCCCACTGTTGAGTAATGTCATTGATACCACTTCGAACGAGAACAGCTTGAGGGCATATGAAAAGGAAGCCATGCTCACAGAGTATTTGGACAGATATAAAGTCTGCATGGAAATCCAGGAAAGGAGTGCTGCTCTTAAGGGAGGCCTGATAATTGGCTTCCCTCAATGTTGTCAGTACTTTGTTACAAATCAAGATGCTCAACGGGCTGGCCATAAGTTCTTTTTGCATCCCTTTGAAATCTTAAGATCCCAAATAACCAAACTGAAAGAAACTGATAGAATTGCATATATGGTTCTTGTGCTGATATTATTCAACAACGGTGGTATATCATCTAGATATCTAGATCCTTATTGCACAGACAACCCTCCAGCTCTTCTTACAGTCATTGAGGCCTGTGGTATACCAAAAGACACCCCCAAAATAGATATTAAATCAGCTGTGATCAAGTTGGTACGAAAGAAGTACCTCGTGTACAACAAACAAGAAGGACTCCATGTATTTTCTCACCAGTCACTATATGATGCAGTCTGTCGTGTATTTGGAGATGAAAGTGTAGAGAAGCTACTAGAATTTGCACCTTCAATGTTTCTGGTTGACTACACATCAGTTTTCGACGACAGTCTCGAAAATAGTGGAATCAAAATACAGATTCTCAGGGAGCACCACAAGACCTTCATCAATAGGATCATACAAGACATCCAGGTCAATAATTTCAAGCTTCTTGAGCACAGTGCGTTTAAAAGAAAGGATTTTGTTGGTGAGTTATTTGAAAATATAACATGGATAGAGTCTTTGCAGAAACTCCTCCTCAGTGATGAGTCGGTGAAACATTTGATTAATGATCGAACATTGTACTGCCTAACAGCAGCCAGCAAGTGTCAACCTCTTTTGTTACAGTTGGTCGGTCTCTTGGGTAGCACAGATGGAGAGAAACAGAAGTTACTGTTGCATGACATTTTGGAGGGTTCTTGTTGTTCAGGAGACCTAGAGCTATTTGATGAGGTTGTGTCAAGAGACGTTACTCCCTGTAGTAACTGTGCTCTTGTCGCTGCTGAAAGTTCTGTTGACAATCCATACATAATGAGGCGTTTGCAGAAGAAAATGCCACCTGAATATGAAACCATGGAAACACTTGTTGACATTTTGGTGGGGAAAAAAAGACTGCAAACACTAAGGCATGTCTCACCACATGTGAACTGGTCGCATTTTAAAACACCCAAGAGGAAAAGGAAGTTGCTTCTGTCAGCTTGCTCTTCAGGCGAGTTTGGGATGTTTCAGTTACTTACAGGCCCTACATATATTGGGGATGCTGAAAACAAACATGAACTTTTGATGACAGCAGTAGGTGGTGGAAGCAAAGATATCGTTGAGTATCTGCTTACGAGGGAAAACAAAGATCAGGTGGATAAAATGCACAGATCAGTACTGCACCATGCTTGTTTGAAAGGGTCTGCTGATCTTTGCCAATTCTTGTTATCAATGCAAGTGGATATGTCCAGAATCGATAAGATTGGCGCGACTGCTTTTCATTTGGCATGTAAAAACAGGGATATATCATTTATTGAACGTCTGTTAAGCATAGGCTTCACAATTACAGTGACCGACATTCAAACAACAAAACGGCCTATTCGGCTCTCACCTTTACATATGGCATCCAGGAATGACAAAGGATGGCAGATGGTACAATTATTGATAGAGAAAGGACCTACAGATGTTGACATGTTAAACTTCCAGGATAGTGATGGATTCACACCTATGCACATTGCAAGCCAACAACCTCATGGAAGCAGCATGATTCAGGAGCTTATGAAACATAAAGCTAATCTTTCACAACTAGACAGTCATGGAAGGATTCCTCTACACTGTGCAGCCAAGGAATGTATATACAAAAACATTGAAGTTTTGTTAGACAGCAGAGCAGATGTAAATGCTAAGGATGCCAGCAGAAAGACACCTTTACATTATCTACTGGCAAAACAGATTCAAAATGAGGATGAAATTGAATCTCAGTCAGATTCTGTGAAACGTTTACTACAGAATGGAGCCGATGTATGTTGCGAAGATAAGGATGGCAACTCTCCAATCCATGTTGCTGCAGCTTCTATTTCCAATACAAAGACTTTTCAGCAACTGTTGGCAAAGACAGGTGATGTTCCCAAACTGAACAATGCAGGACTTACACCACTCCATTTGCTACTAAGACCAGATACGCCATTGGAAAATGTGAAGTTGCTTGTTGAAACCTATCCTTCCCTGCTCGGATCTGAAACTAAAAATGGAAAATCTGTATTGCATGTTGCTTTTCAAAATCAAATAAGATACAACATCATTCTGTATTTGCTCCAAGAGAAATGCTCCGACCATACAGTAAACTGGGAACATGTTGATATCAAGGAGGTATTCTGTAGATTTACTTCAGAACAAATTGTTCATATTCTTCGATATGTGACGGAATCAATGCCCAGTTCAGTAATGCCTAACATGATGCATGTGCTGTGTGAGGCTGACATGGCAGATGATAAATGGACACAGGGAATGAAATTGTTGCACAGCAACACAGCAGATCTTGATCTTGATGTGCAGGGCCCAAGGGGATCAACGGCATTACATAAAGTTGCTGATTCACCTGTGAAGATGAACTATCTTCTCAAGAAGAAATGTGATGTCAATATTCGTGATCAAAATGGAAACACACCACTTCATATTGCAGTTCAAAAAAGAAATGCAAAAGGGGTGGATATTCTCCTTTCATCAGGGGCAGATGTTTCGGCTGTCAACAAAAGGAAAGAAACAGCATTACTAAAAGCAGCAAAGATAATTTCAAAATGTGTCATACACTGGGAGCAATACATTGCCCTATTAGAATCAACTGACATGTTGATTAATTTTTTGCAGTTTTATGGTACTTTCTTTCACTTTGGGTTGAAAGACCAAGAAACTGAAAAGTGTAGTGATGTGAACATCATTTCCAGAATCATATCATCACTCATTGAACGCTCTTCCCCTGTTAATGAACCTGATATAAATGGAAACACAGCAGTTCACTACGCAGTATGGGATATTAACATCCTGGAACAGTTAGTATCTGCAAAAGCAAATCTAGATCAGAAGAACTATTCAGGAGTGTCTTGTCTCCATGTTGCGTGTATGTCAAATGAGAACACAGATGTCATAAATTACCTCCTTGACCAAGGTGTATCTCTTTGTACTACCAGTGCTAAGCTAAACATCACCCCGTTACATGTTGGCTTATTATGCAAGATGAACGATCATACTGTGCTTAAAAGGCTTTATGATTCCATGGTTAAATCCTCTCAAAGTAACTGTGAGGATTTCCTTCCATTTCTTCATGTGTCAGCATGCTGTTCTTCAAAAGACCTTGTACAACTGTTTATTGATCTAGATAGAAACAAACTGCTCACACAGGACAAATTTGGATATCTCCCCATACACCACGCTGTGGCTGCTGGTGATCTAGAGGTGGTCATGCTACTCGCCGAAGCTATGAAGACAGCCACACACAGAAGTGAAAAGGCATGCCACTCTAGGACTGTATCTACAATGCAAAGTGGCCTGTTTTCTAAACGTGGTAGAAATGCATTGCCAAGCAGAACAAGGCCTACTGCAGTCAGAGGTCAGTTTGACAGAGGTAGACCTCCATTGGGGAAGCGTTTTGACCAGACTACAAAAGGCAGAGGTCGGTCTTCACAGGTCGGGGGTCAAACAACTCAAGTCAAAGAAGAGCCTACACCAATCACAGGCCAGTCAACACATTTCGGACCTAAAACCACTGATGGTAGGCCTACATCTTCGAGGTGCAAGAAACAACAGAAAATGAAAGGGCTGTCTGAAAAAGAGGATAATCAGTGTGCACATGGTAAACCTAAAGACATGGTGGATAGTCGTGGGATTCAAGTTCAGGATCTGCATGGTTTGGTGTGTAGACTGAAACCTAGATGTGATTTGATTCTTGTTGCTGCCCAATACAGCAATGTTGATGTTATTGGTTTCTTATTAAAGCAAGGATGGAATGTCAACCTGTGTGACAAGGATGGCAATACACCCCTCCATGCTGCAGTGCAATCAGTGAACTATGAAAATGCTGAATATTTGTTGAAAAAAGGGGCAGACGTTGAGTGCATTAACAGAAATGGACTCACTCCTTTGCAGATTACAGTACAGAACACATTTCCAAAGTTTTCAATAAATATTATCCGTCTGTTACTCAGCAATGGGGCATCTGTCGGTTCCTGTACAAAGCATGACAGGCAGAACCTATTACACATAATATGCAAAGATGAATTGATTTCCCAAATTGCAAGTCATGTAAATAGGTTCAACTTGAGTGCAGGTGATCTCATTACCCAGATGCTGAGTATTCCAAGGTTGTTGATACACAACGGCTGTCATGTGAACGCCATAGATTCACAAGGTCAGACCCCACTCCACCTGGCTGCTGAAGCCAACAATGCTTTGTATGTTGACATCCTACTTGATAATGAGGGAAACATTGATGCTCTAGACAGTCAAGGGAGGACACCCCTCCAGCTAGCATTAGAAAATTATGGAAAGGTTGATCTAATACCTTTTTCTACAGCTTTGTGTCTGGTGGAGAGAAGTGCCAATCCTCATGCAATTGTCCGCTGTGGTGTGACTCCACTGGATATTCTACTGGGTTTAGGGAAAGGCGAAATCCTAATGAACGAAGAGTTTAAACAGATATGCCATCTGCTGGGCATATGGGAAGAAGTAAAGGAACAGGAGTGACAGCCTTACACTGTTCCAGCCTTGGAGATTCATCCTCCACAAACCATGAAAGGTTTCAAAGCTTCACATAAAAATTACAGATACACAGTGAAAAAAGTAATTTATATATGGCCGAAGTCATAGGTCATGTACTTTTGCAGCTTGAGTACAGATCATTTTGAACTTTTTCAGGGTACGTGCTCCAAAATCTTGCCTTTGAAACTACTAGTCGAAATATTTCCAAACACTCAATGAATGGCCTCTGTACAACCTACATCAAAGTTGTCTTTTAGCATGTATCTTTGAAATAAAACTTGACTTTGGAAGGATTTGCTGGTAACAACATTCATAGACCCTCGCAACATCATATGGGTGATTCGTGCAAAGTTTTAGCATTGGACACGTTTTAGCCTTGTACACGGAACGCATTTCTGAAAATATGGCATATGTTTCAGCTGATCAAACCTGTGGACAGATATTTCATCTCGGACAATGCCTAAACATTCATCACTTTGACTGCAGGGGCGGGTACAAGGGATTCCCCAGCCCGCCAAAGAGAGGATTCTTTCTCGTGACGGATTATTTAAAAGGTTACCCAGCTGGCCCTTTTACCCCTGAAGAGTGTTGTGTTTCTGTGAAACGTTCTGGGCTTGAAAACAAATTCTTGTGCTCAAACGGCCGAAATTAGGCACTAATTTGGGAGCCAAATCAATTTTATTTCCTCTAAATATTCTTTGTTGAAATGTATGATTTTTGACAGTTTGTATGCAAAGACGTTAGAAGAGGTTGCATAGAGGCCTGTATCGCTGTTTTAACAGTTTTACCCGTCGGAACCAAGTCACATCCATCATTGTGTACATTCAAATATGAAAATAGTTCCCACTTTACAAACAAACGGGACATGTAAAAGAAATGTTGTAGAACCTATTCGATACATGAAATCCAAACTGATTACTGGTATTCCAAACGTGTTGCAGTGGTATTTGATGATAAGCAAATCCAACAATTTACAAAGTATTGCAGTTGTTAGTGCTTAGTGTTGAAATCATCAACCATTTTCAAACATCTGTTATAAGCGGTTTGTAAGCATTCAGTGTGTGCCTTGAACTTTGGCTGGGTTGGTGAGTGTCCGTAGCGACCCATGGCCCAGTAAGATGTAGGGCTTAATATCTTTTGCAATTGGGATCGATAACATGCATCAACCAAGTCAGCGAACCTGACCACCCGATCCCGTTAGACGCTTTTTCCGAAAAGCATGGTCGCCTTTTACGGCAAGCATGGGTTGCTGAAGACCTATTCACCCCGGATCGTCACGGGTCTAGCTCAATATCTAAGTAGATTTATGGATCTTGCAGAAATAACTACTCATTCCTACTAGCCCTGGATTTAGTGTAAATGTAAATTCTGGCGTTGGGTACTGATCAGTTTTTAGTCTCAACTTCAGGTATTCAGGTTAATAGTGGTGACCTAGTCGTGTAGGGTGTCGCAATTAGCTGCGTAGAGTTGCGTTCCTTTTGCACGCCAAAAACTTGTGATCGTGGGTTCGAATCCTGGTTCGCTCCAATTTTGTTTCGAGGTTTGTCAGCATACCCATGCTCGTGGGTTTCAACAAAGTGGTAAACGTCTGAGACCTGCATCATTTTGGGCTTTCCTTCCACGTGAAGCTGACACGCCATGATATAACTGTAAAACTGTTCAAAGCGGCGTTAAATCCAGCTCACTCACTCACTCAGTTATATAGTAACGATGTGACAATGCTGTTCATTTCTTTTTTTTAACATATGTGTGTCCCCGTGTCGTAACCCAGCTGGGGTCCAGTGATCTTAGCGCCTCCCTACTCATCTCTGTCCAGCGGTCGGCCGCTCGGCTTCAGTTCTTGAACTTTGTGTTTGTTAGGCTATCGCTAGGGTATTTGTTGTCTGTAGATTTTATTCTCTAGCATTTTAATCTTATGCTCTTATCATGTGTTGATTTGGTATCTGTTATCTCAGATGTATGTGCAAGCGTATTCACATGTTGAAAGTGTTTTAGTGATTTTCACTAAGATTTTCAGGAATTCGCGGGATGATCTAGTACTATGTAAATATTTCTTATGTATTTATAGCCTTAATAATTGTACATATCTGGCTGTAAATGTTCAGTAGCACCTTAGGGTGGCTTATGTTAACGTTCAGCCCCATATTTTGATACTAATTTATCAAATATTGGTTTAGTTGTTAGTTTGATATTCGTGTTTACTGTACTTAACAAAGGACAATTATGTTCGCGGAGTGGCCGCTACTTGATTGTACATACATTCTATCGCACTACTTTTGTAATTGAATATTTACGGAGTATAATTTCATATTTTTTTGCAAATCCGTGGAAAGTCCTTCCCATGAATAATATTTACAGTTATATATTAACAGTTATCTGTTCTTGACAAATAATGAAAGTGCATTTCATAATATTTGATCGTGTACTTAATTTAGTAACAGATTTTCCTATGTTTGTTGTCATCATGTTAAACTGTAATGCTCTATTTGATTGTACTTTTTTTTTCATTTTCCTGTTTCTGTCATGTAATCATAACACAATGAAACGTGTGTTTATTCAAGACTGCCATGTACCTTTCAGAAGTTGTTTAGAATCCATTTGTCTTTTGACAAAAAGATATGTTTAAACTTCATGTTATAAAGTGGGCTGTTCTTCAGATTGACCAAGAGCTCATTCAAGACCCTTGAAATAATCCAACCAAAGACATGAACCGAAACAAGGAAAGCACGATTCATTTTGAGCAATATGGGTTGCCTAGCAACCATCTATACAGGTTATTGGTCACTGTGCCATTACGTATCTAAACACCAGCCTGAAGCTCGGGGTTTATGTGGAAATGTGTGAAAATGACAATGAAACATTGCAACATGTTAAATTTGCCTTGACTCACCACAGAACTGAAACTCATAACACTACACGGATATACATATTGTTCGAAATTTTCACCAAGGTCAGACAAATGACAATGAGATTTTTAATATTACAACTGACCTTCTTGCGTTTTAGTTACATACATTCTTTTCGTTACTCATGTAATTCGTGATTTATCTTTGCATTTCACAGTATGTCAAATTACTTATTCGAGTTTAGACAAAGCTAGTATGTCTGAATGAATACTTATGAAGCTAGTATGTCTGAATGAATACTTATGATGTAAGTAGGGTTTTTTCTATGCCGATTGTATTATTCAAGTATCCCTCATCACCCTTAGTTGCATCATCATCGATGATCCACTATATGTATTCTCCTAATTATTACGATAAATTCCCTCGACACATTCGCCATAATAGCTATCGTCTCGATCAAGATTACTAAAGAATGACTCTAGCTTAATTGGTAGGCTACTTTTAGCGTCGTGTTATCTTTAAATATTTTGTTTCTTTGTTGTTTAATATTAATATTGCTGAGTGCGGCGTTTAACAATAAGCCACCCAACCAACGACGAGCATAGTCGCCTTAGCGTTAAACAATTCCATGGTAGTGAATGATTCCAGGGTATTTATCATAATAGAATGATCTTAACATACTTTATGGAATACGTTATTGTATACATGTAAATTCTTCATCATTTCAAAGAGACTGTGTCAGTCTGATTTTTTATTGCCTGGTTTCAGCATAACAATTCCATAGTATAGGCAATGACCCCTGCGTGAATCAACTATCTTTCGTAGTATACCGGCTACTGTGTTTTAGTAGCATGTTCGTTATTTGTAAAATTCTAAAAGAACGATAATGTGCACTCTCATCCAAAACACCCACATTGAAATTGTGATGCTGGAAACTGGTTTAATTGTTTGCTTTACCCATCATTTAAAACGTTGAATACATCCAACCAGGTGAGCTTCAGTGCCGTTTTGCTAGCTTTCATGTTAACATTGGTTCGCCAACATATTATGTATATTATAGTTGACACTTAACTTGATTTTTGTGTGTTATGGTAACGGTGCAAGGGAAGTGCACGGCATATGTTTATCAAACAAATAAGCGATGAAACTGCTTTAAAACAAATTCCATTGGTCCCTGAATGGCAAACAGCTTGGGATGGGATCATAGTTTAACAAAGTTATTAAAAGAACCAACGTGAAATATTCAGCGATTTTAATTTGATATAACATCATCTGACAACATTAGGATTGATAATCTAACATCCTCTACGATAGTCCACCGAGTAATTCGTTTAGTCATAACAGTATAAGTTTCATCATTACAAATTCATACACTGTAGGAAATGTGTTTAGACCCTAAAAACAAACCTAAACGCGTATAAGAGTATAACAGCTATACGTGTCTAGACTTGTGTCCCAGTATTTCCCAGGGTATGGTATATTCACAAGGTCTCTTGAATGCGCTAATATATCCAGAAAATGAAATAGAGAAAAGCAAGTCACCATCAAGTGTACCCTTCTCTCTGGTTGTGCCCGAGGTATTCAACAAACATTGTGTCTATAATGATTATACATCTGTAGCTAATAAACGTAGGGCATTAAAACTTGACCCTGTACTCTTGTCTTGAATTACTTTATTCTACGCTTGAATTTGGGTAGGTTAGCAATCCTGGCCATTTCTCATCCTGGTCAATTTTAAACGCTATAACAAAATGAAATAAAAAATGTTACAACTTGTGACTTACAAGACTTACATTGTTTCTGGCTTTTAACGCAGCCAGCTGTGATATTTATTTGTCATAAACCTGACTTTGATTTCAGAATTGTTATTTATTATTTACATGGTGTTGTTATACATTTTGTATATACTTGACTAAAGTGTGGGCCCAATACCATGTACACAAATAAAATTGACGAAATCACAAGGCGAACATCACTTCTGTCGAAAAGTCATTCATTTTGCGGTGAATATGACCATCAATGGATGTTGTCATCATCAATGTTGTCAAAAACAACCAGACTTTTCTGTTTGACAAAAAGAACAACCTCTTCAATAATACTCTTCTCGTTCATTTTAAGCTTGCGAATTGGTCGTCTTTGTTAAGAAAATAAAATGTTAACGTATCGTGTCATTTCCGGCAGGGTACATAACTAATCGGCTTTTACTTTGAGTGCTTCTTCACCATGTTAAACGGCTCAAGATTGAATTCTCAAATATTTCCTCTTAGTAAGAATTAATACAGATCTAAAATATATTTGTTGCTCTGGAGATTTCTATAAAGTAACTGAATATTAGAAAAGTGCGAAGTAGACCGTGTACATATTTTTTTATCTATTATAATCTGATATTTGGGGGCGGAGTGGGCAAGCGGGCAAGCGGGCAAGCGGGCATGCGGTCTAAAGCGCCAAGTGACTGAGGTCGTATCCCGCTAGTGAGTAGGTTGTTATTCAGCCTATAAACCAACAATGTTTACAGATCTTAACAGTGTTGTCACTATCCCTAGTGTACAGTACATTCATCCTGTACACTCAAAAATACCCACCCGTCCGATGGTAGATGACCAGATGGTGGACGCACGAAAACGTTCACACACCAGAAACAAAAGCGTTAAAACGTACGTTGTCACCCTTTGCAAGTGACTCAGTTCAAATGTGTCGTGTTCACCCAGCAGGGAATTGGTACCCAATATGTGAGGTGGATTTAAAAACCCGCTAGCGCCCGTAGGGTTGTATACTCCCCAGGGAGTTGATAATGATAACTGGAATGCAAACGAATCCACTTGCTGGGGAACAAGTAAACCGCATTTGAGGAGACACTAGTACCTGGATAAGTGCATTTTATAAATGTATAATATAACAATCATTTGTTGGCATATGGATTTGTCTGTTAACATATTTTGTATAATGCCCGTATGACAGTGACAAACATTTTGCTAAATTCAAGTCATTTGCTAACTTCGGTATATATAATTACAACAGCCAATTCATTATTTACATCAGAACATATGTTCATTATGAATATATTCATAAATTACATAACTGGGGAATGTTTGCCTATTTCTTTAAGAGTCTCTGGATTTTGTGGCTTTCTGTTCCAAAACAGGAGAGGTTGATCACAAAGGGTGCAGACTGTTGACGGGGTGTTTTTTAGATTTCTTTGTGATGTTCTGTGTCGTCTGTTGTACTAGTTGCTCGGGGTAGCGGTTGTACTGTGTAAATGCTTGTTTGAGGTGGCTTAGTTCAGTGGTTAGATGTTGCTTCGTAGAACGGATGTTGTGAACTCGTCTCGATAGGGTTGAACTAATTCCTTTCTTGACTTGAGGTGGATGGTTGGAGGCATAGTGAATGTATTGATCTGTGTTGGTAGGTTTCCGATAAACAGTGGTCTGGAGTTTGTCGTTATTGTCTTTCTGTATAAGTACATCAAGGAAGGGGAGCTGCTTGTACTAGTCCGGACTGATGTCGATTAATAGTGCTAGCCCACTGTGATACCATGCCGCAGTTTAACATGAGTGAGTGAGTTTGGTTTTACGCCGCTTTTAGCAATATTACAGCAATTTCACGGCGGGGGACACCACAAATGGGCTTCACACATTACCCATGTCGGGAATCGAACCCGGGTCTTCGGCGTGACCAGCGAACGCTTTAACCACTAGGCTACCCGACCGCCCCCAGTTTAACATGAATATCCCACTCGGACACAGTACATTAACTCTGAGCCGACCAGTCCTTGTTTTAGCCCCTTAATGCCGAGCGCCAGACAGGGTAACAACAAGTACCATCTTTTACGTCCTTTTGTATGACGCGGTCGGGGATCGAACCCCGGAACTTCCCCTCTCCGGGCGGACGTTCTACCTCTAGACCACGGAGGCGGTCTTTTTCCTTCAAGGTGGGTCATAAATTTCTCGGTGATCAAGGGTGATAGTGGGGATCCCATTGGCAGGCCATGGGTTTGTTGATAGATGTTATCTCTCCGAGGGAAGTATGTTGAGCTGTACGAGTGTACGAGTCGGATGATGCTGTCAGTTGTTCGGCGGATGTCTAGAGATGGGTGGATTTCCTAAATGCGGGTTCTGATGATATCAGTAGCCTCGTCCCAGGGTTACATCAGAGAACAAGTCGACAACGTCGTAGTTGATTAAGGTTTCCTGGTTGGGGGATGTCGAGAATCTTCTTGCAGAATTCTGACGAATCTGACACAAAGGACTTGGAAGTGTTACCAGAGAGGTGCGATGAGGCGGGCTAGGTACTGGGTCGTATTGTAGTGGACAGTGTCTCTAGGGCAGACGGGCTTTGACGGGGTCTTTATTAATTTTTATGTTTGTCCGGACATAAGGTGGCTTAGGGTGAGGGGTGGTGACTTGTTTGTGGGGGGTGTGGCCGATTTCATTGCTGTCCCGAAGTTGGTTGAGTTAGGTCTTGCGCTGTTTCTGTAGGCTGCTTGTTTGGTCTTTCTTTCGCTGCTTGTAGGTAGATTGATTATTGAGGATGTTGTCGGTTGAGGCATTGAAGTGGGTGCTGTCAATGATGACAGTTGCTTTGCCTTAGTCTGCTAGGGTGATGGTGCTGTCCGATTTTAGGTTGTTTCGAATTTTCCTTTCGTAAAGAGTTAGGTTGGGTTTCTGGGGCTGGTCTTTGTTCAGGATGTTGGCAATCAACATCAAAAGACTCCAACCGTCGATCAACCGTGACCAAGGCATACCACCGGCGTACCCTCAACTCATCGAAGACCCCTATCAGCCATAATCCTGTTGTTTATATTACTTGCTTGATAACGGTGTGAGAACCTACCCCGAAACGTCGCTCTTAATTATAATAAAGAAGCTGTTCATCCAAAAATCTTATCCTTACTTAGTACTTCCAAATTCGAAATGCCTATCAAAGAAGTTACCATGAAATTGTTTTTGTTTTAATGCCTTTGTTACAAGGGGTTCTGCGCAATAAACATAACAGCTGAAGGGTATCGCGGAACACAGGGATAGTCTCAAAAATTATATTCTGAAATACTTTCATCGTCACAGTTACGGGTAATGAAATGATAATTTGACCGACAGTTGCATGATCTAAACCATCTCTTTTACAATATGAAGCTTTAATTCCGGTCTCAACTTTGTCAATGCACCCCTCCGACTTGCAATAATCATAAACGTGAAATACCAACGTTTTCACATAATCTGTGATTTTCATCATGAACCATATTGTAATGCTATATTAAACTCGTTCTGATTTTGTTTTACTATTTGCATTAGAAATTAGCTGAATAGCAATACCAAGAACATCTCTAACATTCCTTTGAGAATATTGTACAGATTCTCATTGTATATTCCGCTTAATAACTACGACAGGAAGATATGCTTCTGGTTTAAACTTTTCATTTTACAAGATTTTATTACAGAAAAGACAGTTGTAGGTTGGCCTAACACGGAATTTCACGTGAGAATGTTGGGCTTTTCAGTTTACAGCGCCCCTTATATTTATTAAATTTGAATTGCGAATGCTTCGAATTGTGTTCATTTTATATGTGTTCTCTTTTGCGTAAGAGTTGAACATGAAAGTGCAGATCACTTGTTGGTTGGTTTGTTGTTTAACGCCGCACTCAGCAATATTCCAGCTATATGACGGCGGTCTGTAAGTAATCGAGTCTGGACCAGACCCCGGATCTTGTCTGTGTGTTACATTATATCATTACAGAATAATATATTCTTCATATATTGACATAATATTCAGCAAAGAAGTGCGATAAATTGTCTTCTCTTTCTTGATTATGGATACAATACACGCCCGTGCACGAGATGATTATGTGTCTCACGTTACACAATTTACCACAAAAAGCTACAACTGCACATGTATATGTATTTGTTCCCATTATAAACTATGCAATAAGACTTGTATTGACTTCCAAGATTAGCTTATACCTGTGGTTGTAATTGCAGTTCGGAAACTGCATCAGTCATATTCACTTTCTGGCATACACCCCCAACAAAAAAGACAAACAGTTCAATTATATGTATTTTGCTTGTGTTATCTTTGATACCAATTTCAAAAGGCTCCAGTTTCTCTGATATTTTGGTATAACTGTTTAGCCGATCATTTTCCAAGTTAAATATTTGTATTATAATCATTCACTGAGTATATGTGATCTAGGTAGCTTGTTCCTCATATATACAACTAAACAATATTGACCAAGATGGGAATCCATGTTTGCTTACCGTCATCAAATATAATTTGTATTCTAATATTAATTGGCCATTTGAATAGACTTCGAACATGTACACTGAACACATTCTGATATAGTTCAAAGTGTATACATGTAGAACATGGCAGGAAAGTAAGATGTTGCAAATCATGCTGTTATCCACACTAGACTGCAGAAGTAATTTTGAAGCCACACAATCAGAAAGATACCACCTTTCAAATTCACAGCTGAAAGCTCCCCAATATCTGGTATGCAGTCTGTTCACAACTTTGCATTTCCTGTGCACACATACACATGCTTTTATGTGTTCCATCAGTCTTCACAGCTGTGAGATTCCTACCATAAAAGTAACAACATGTTCTAAATAACTTTCTTTATTATGTACAGTTAACACTATAGGGTCTACATCCCTATAGCCTCTCTTCACTACAGGGTATGCACCCAGCATTTTGGCCATACAGGGCATCATTTCACCCAGCATCAGTTGAGTGTCACTTCTACAGGAGGTAGAACCCTATAACATACATAATTATAGCAACCAATGGATTGCAAAACCAAAGGAACTTTGTGTAAAATCTTCCTGAGATGCTGTTGTCATGACAACATAGGCAATGAGTGATGATAAGCTTGTCACTCTCACTGTTACATAAATTTTTGTCATGTCAGAATGATGAATACTGACACCATTATATGGAACAACCTGGATAAACAAAGGCAAAAGTAAATGCAATAACTTGAGCTTAAAACTTGTGGTGAAGGACAAGGTATGAAAGGGTCCTTTCAGGCCAACAAGATCTGCATAATTTGAAAGAGTGAGTGAGTGAGTGAGTATGGTTTAACACCGCTTTTAGCAATATTCCAGCAATATCACGGCGGGGGACACCAGAAAGGGGCTTCACACATTGTACCCATGTCGGGAATTGAACCCTGGTCTTCGGCGTGACGAGTGAACGCTTTAACCACAAGGCT